GTGTGGAGAAATAAAGCATTCACAGACAAGAAATTGAAAACCCATTTTTCTTTAAATTGTTCTAATTACTACTACGTATATTTGTATTTTTTTATCTATAAAAAATATTACACCAACATTGCATGTATACTGTATACAATTAAAAAAAAAATTGATGTTTCAATTGGATGAGGTCTTAGATTCATTTTTTTTCTTAAATAGATTCAAGTGCTCAATTTAAGTTTTCATTTTTATTTTTTTCATGTTTTAATTTTTTGTTTTAATTTTTGTTTAAAATTTGAAGTAAAACAAAAAATTCCATTTAGAATAGAAGAATCTATATGACTTAAAAATACTCGTCTGGATTCTGGACATGGGTTATCTCACAAACCTAAAACCTAAAAATACGCCCCCTTTCATCTCCTCTAGCTGTAGTATGAGTGTAAGAACAAATATACCGTAGTTCTATTTTTCGAAACGTATATACCCTGAAGTATATGTTGAAGTTCATATATATCTCTGAACGAAACTGCAAAAATATTCTTCATGTTCTTATAAATGAGCAAATATATCCTTATTGAATTTAAATTGTTAAAATAAATTCCATAAAACACCAAAAATAAATTATAAAAAATGTAATTGTATCCATTTCTCTCTTTTATTGTTTTCATATCACAATTTAATATTGTTTGTGTAAAATATTATTTCAAAAAGTTACTATATATTGAAGATTCTTTCAAAAAAGTGTTAACATATGTCTGCAATGTAGAAAAGTTATTTTTTTTTTGCATTCTTTGCACTATAAAATTACATATTTTGTATGATGATATATAGCCCTACATCACAAAATAGTGAATTTAATTTTATTAAGGTTAAACAAAATCAAAGAATGTTATTTCAAAAAAGGTAACAATGTGTTCAAAATTTCACAACAAGAATAAAATTAATATGTGTGGATTTGAAGCACTTTATTTGGAACGGAAAAATAATAATTTTTCAATTTAAAATTAATATTTTAACATAATACGATATTTTTTTTTTAAGTTTTGAATTTCTAATTTATTTCTGGTGTTGTTTGAATTTTTTTTTTATCTATTTAAAGTCAATAAGGGTAAATTTGGCCCTTTATAAGAACATGAGGGGTATTTATGCACTTTTTAAAAGTTCAAGGGTATATATGCACTTCAATATATACTTCAGGGGTATATTTGTTCCGAAAAATAGAACAGATGTATTTTTGTTCTCACACCCATACTAGAGGGGTATATTTGTACTTTTTTCCTTTTAAGAAATCACGCACCCTAAAGAATTCAACATGTTTTTATTTGTAAACTAGCAGATTGTGCCTATGCAGTTTTTATACCGTGCGAGCAGTCCACCATGAGCACACCCACCCACAGAAAAAACGTGTGTTACTGTTCACACGGGTGAAAAATAACTTTTTTATTTATTTTTGTTATCTAATAGCAGAATGATGTAACTGACGTGTAAAGAAATGTAACTTATGTCGATAAGAAATCTAACTCCAGACAAGTCGAAATGTAATATGACTAATACGGATTATAAGAAATAAAGCATTGATTTCAATGAAAACAAGGAGTCTAATTGCTCAATTATTTTATGCAAATAGTGAATATTTTTTTTAATATTAAGGCCATAAATAATGTTATTTTCTTAAAATCATTTTTTTTGCCAAAAAAGTCATTGTTTTCGCCAAAAACACATTTTGTTTTTTGAAAAAAGTGAACTTTTTTGTTTCAATAACAGATGTTTACTTAGATAGTGAATATGTTCTATTTTTAATATTATGGCCATAAAATATTTTTGAAAAGTCATTTTTTTGCCAAAGAAATCACTCTTTTTTGCTAAAAAATTAATTCTTTTTTTAGAAAAAATGATTCTTTTGTTTCAATAGTAGGGCTTTATGTTATGATGTAACTCGGGTTATGGAAAATGTAACTCATTGATGGAAAATCTAACTTAGGTGTATGCAAAACGTAACTTGTTGAGGCAAGTCCAAATGTAACGCGCACATATACTAAATGTAACTCATGCACAAAAGATGTAACATGTGCACAAAAAGATGTAAATCCATATAATACCAAATGTAATTATAGGAATTGTCTATAAACATAACTCACAATGTCACACAATGTCTATGAAAAATGTAATCTCATGGTTTTTCAAATTTAAATAAACAAACTTAATGTCTTTAAAATACAAAAATCGAATCATATAAAAGAGATAAGAAATATATCATATAAAAAAGTTTATGAATATAAAAAATGTTTTACAAAAAAAGTATAAATGTAAAAACAATTGCACAAAACATAAATTCGTTAGTAATTTAAGTTGAAGAAAAATAAGTAAAAAATAGTGTATGATTATGAAATAAAAGATACTTATTTTATATGGATTAATAAAATTTTGAAATAAATTGGTAAAGAAAAAAATTAATTCAATTGTAGTTTAATTAGATAAAGATCGATAAAAAAAAGTAAAAAAGCACAAATAATTAGATGTAACTCACACATAATTAGATGCAACATGCGCATAAAAATATGTAACTCACGCATAAGAAAAAGTAACTCACACATAACAACATGTAGTTTACGCATAATCCCAATCTCTTACATAACCCCAGTTAAATTGATCATAGCTGCTATAAAGTCCTTCAAAGGTAGTATTCCAAAAGATATTTCGGTGTTCTTTGTCTCTCTGTAGGGGATAATCGTAGAGCATAATAAAAAACCCAGCATCCCGTTGAAAGAAAATCGTATAGAAATCTTCACGTTCTTTGTTTTTTATTTTGGCCTCAAATGAAAATCTCTTGCCTGGCTTTAGTTGAGTGTCATTTGCTGGTTTGTCAGCAGGTCCATATGCAAGAAGGACAACTTGATCGTAACCGTTGACAATTCCGATAACTGGGTATTTGGTTGTTGCAAAAGCTGCTTTCTCCGAGGAAATCATCAAGGATAATGCCGCAAGAACAATCCATATATTATTATTGTGGTTACTAGAGATGATCATTTCTTGTTTTAGGTCGTTTTATTTAATTGTTTTATTGGGATGTTTTTTCGTGTGTATATTTTAGTTTGTGCAATTATACATTTCCATTCTTATAGCTTGGGAGCGAAGACACACACATTCAATGTACGTCCGTTATTATGTTTTAGTAATGAACATGAACATATACATAACCCCACAAACGCACATCAATATGCTTAAATCGGTTTTAAAAATTGGGTTGGGGAGATGGACATCGATGATGCATACCGTACCATGCACGGACACATTTAGCATACTACCGCGGTCCCAATTTGATGGTATCATTACGGTTTACGAAGTTTGACTGACGATAAAACAAATGGATCCATGTCCGCACTTAAATTATTTTTAGAAAAAAAATTACATATTCAGAAACTACATTAAAAACTTTACAAAGTCGCAAACATCTGGATTAAATTTGATTAAAATTTAATACATAAAGTAAGAGATTAAGAGTGATTTGTGTTGACAAAAAGAGAGAGAAATGGTACCATCAAATTGGGACGGAGGGAGTGATTTGTGTTGACAAACGTTTTACATATTGTTCCTTTTCGACACACAACTTAAATGCGTATCAATACATTTTCTAGCCATGTCATTATTTTATCTACAATTGGTATTTTTACCCGTGTCGTGCACGGGATAAAATGCATTTTATATTCTAAGTTTTGTTATAGAATGTAGAGAAAAGTATTTGAATTCTTCTAGTAATGAGACCATAATGGGAACCATATCTTCTATAGATCCATCCTCCGGTCTGTCTACGCGGATTGGGACTAGAATCTTGTCACAATAGCGAGCGAAAGGAAGCTGGGGAAATCGGGATCGGAAAGCGCTATCAAAGTGATCTAAAAAGATATTAAGCAAGACAGGATTGATATCGGTACCTCGACAGTGTCGCCATTGTTCCATGATATCTAAATTTGATAGCTCACCATCTCGTCAAATGATTGAATACTAACATCATCTTTTCAATCCTCACATTGAACTTTCCATTATTATAAAAGGCTCCGCAAAATCAATGAGGTCATTCTTTACATTTGATTCACCTTCTGGATTTATAAAAGGTTTTGTGGTCTTTAGAATTTAATAATGGTGATGACAGTAATAGTAGGCTGCATGACAGCGATTGGTGAGTCTCTGGACAACAACAATGTGATAAGCTATAATTGGCACATCATTTTTATATGGCTAAAGGGTCAAATAGGTACATGAACTAATTTTAAGTGTTCAATTAGCCCCTTATATAGGAGATTCTGCCCGGCCGTCGTCAATTGGGGCGGTTCCCGATGGAATTTTTTTATGAATTTTTTTGAGCATCTTCTTCATTAAGTCTAGTTTACCCATACCAAATTTCAGCTAAAAATTCAACCGGAAGGCAGTCAAATGATTTTTTGAAGATAACTGCGCAGTTAAACAACGCAGTACATTTCGGAAAATCATTTTACTGCCTTCCCGATTTAGTTTTTAGCTGAAATTTTATATGGGTAAACTAGACTTAATGAAGAAGATGCTCAAAAAATTTCATAAAAAAATTCCACTGGGAACCGCCCCAATTGGCGATGGCCGGGCAGAACCTCCTATATAAGTGGTTAATTGAACAATTTAAGTTAGTTCATGTACCTATTTGACCCTTTAGCCCTTTTATATTATTTTGTCACAATTCTATGCTTCTTATTTGCCTAATTAATTGAGAGGTTTTAATCCTACTTTTGTCTTAAAATTGCTTTTTACAGGTGAGAAATTTAATTGAAGTAATTGGGCTGATTTGAGCTCATTGGAGAGATTTTATTTCCAAATTCGAGAATGGGTCAGTTTAAATTTGGAAGCTTTCACTTGTGAGAGTAAACTAGGCTGGAGAACAAAATTAAAGGAGGGGTAACTCTTTGATTTTGACTGATAAAGGAAAATTAGAAAAAGAGAAAACAACCAAAAATAAAGGGAAAAAATTGAACCTGCTCTCTCTTCCAGATATAAAAACGAAAATTGCAGAAGCGGGAGGGGATTATTTCGGGATTTTAAGCAGAACGCCAGTGGCCTTCCAATCGGCCTGGCTAGAGTTCTTTCGAGTGCAGAGGAGAGCAGCAATTCTGAGATTTCTTGATCATAAAAATCAACAATTCAGTTCAGAAATTCTTCCTCCGGAAAAGTCCCAGTTTGATTCAATTAGTGTTCAAACTTCCTTACATTATTTCTTGAGTATTGGCACAATTGTTTATTGTTCATTGTTTAGATGGTCAAAATGAACTCTCTGTTTCCTAGAGTTTTAACAATTTCATACCCAAGTACGAGTAGCTAAATTTCTAAGTCCAGGAGAATGATGAAGTTGCTATGATTTAATATAAATTGTGATTCTAGTTAAGCCAATTGATGAAGTTTTATCCATTGTTCTTATTCTGTTAAGTTTTTATTTGTATCCTACTTGCAAATAGATGCATGGGTTACTGATTATTGGTTATGGAAGAATTTTGGTAGCAGCTATTGTTAACAAAATTAATGAAGAAATTTGGTGGGCCATTGTCGAAGATACTGCGGAAGGAAATGTGGAAAAGAAGGGAAGAAGTAATTTGTCAAAAGCAAATAGTAAATGGATCCCACAGCCATGATGATGTCTCACACTTATTTGCCTATATACTTGGTATAAGTTTGTGTTTGGGCAGAGTTTTAGCAAGCCAGAGTGTGAATGAGTTAGCCAGAAGGAAAAATCATTCTTGAGCTATTGGTCATCCTTTTTTCTCTTATATTCTGCTTCCAGAAATTATCCCTGTAATAGCTCTATCAGTTTGAGTTATTTTGTCCTTATCCCACAATATAATAAAAGCTGCTCCATTTTCACTTGTGGATGTAGGTCAAAAGTTTTTTGGCTGAACCACGTAAATATATTTGTGTCGTTTTTATAGTTATATTTATATTTCTCAATACTCTTTTATTGTTGCTGTGGTATTGTGTGGTTATAATTAAACTCGATACAATATATTTTGGGTGACATCCAGACTTATTTCCTAACAAATTGGTATCAGAGCATGTACAGTAACTAAGATGTATGGTTATTTCCGCAGCGTGTTATATAGTCAACCGTGCTCCCTCTGCTCTACTTGATTTTAAGACTCCAGAAGATGTATGGTCAGATACTCCTCGTAATTATTCTGATTTAAAGATATTTGGGTGTCCAGTGTACATGCATGTAAATGATGGATATTAGAGCCAAGGGCTAAAAAGTGTATTTTTCTTGGATATGCATATGGGGTTAAAGGTTACCGTTTATGGTGCCTAGACCCAAAATCACCCAAATTGTTATTAGCAGAGATGTTACATTTGATGAATCTAGCATGTTGCATCCAAAAAGGGAGTCTTCTAGTTCTTGTGATTCAGATAAAACAGAGAATGCACAGAAGCAGGTGGAGCTCGAAATAGGAAGTGTTAAACCTTCTGAGTCAGATCCTCAAACAATTCAGTCGGATACCGTTGGAGAAACCGCTGATGAGACTTTTAATGATGAATATTGCATTGCCCGAAATAGAGAAAGGAGGGCAATACAACAACCACGAAGGCATGAAGATTTTGTTGCTTATGCTCCAAGTGTGGCAGATGAAACAAGTTTAAATGATGAACCATGTTCCTACTTAGATGCTACCTCATGTGCTGATGCATCAAAGTGGTTGGTAGCAACGAATGAGGAAATGGAGTCCCTCAACAAAAAATGGTACGTGGACACTTGTGCAGCCAAAATCAATGAAAAAGGTTATTGGCTGCAAATGAGTTTTCAAAAGAAAAGAAGGTATCCCAAGAGTTGAAAATCAGATGCAAGGCATAAGGAATTGATTTCAATGATGTTTTCTCACCTATTGTTAAACATAGTTGTGTATTACTTGCTTTAGTTGCCATGTATGATTTGGAATTAAAACAGCTGGATGTCAAAACAGCTTTCTTAAATGGCGAACTTGAGGAGGAGATTTACATGAAACAACCCGAAGGTTTTGAAATTCAGGGAAAAGAAGATCATGTATGCTTGTTGAAGAAATCCTTGTATGGATTGAAGCAGTCACCTCAGCAGTGGTATAAAAGATTTGACTCTTTTATGTTGAGACATGATTTTAAAAGGAGCATGTATGATAGTTGTGTCTATTTCAAAATGCTAAATGATAGCACATTCATTTACTTGTTACTTTATGTTGATGACATGCTCATTGCTGCAAAAGATAGTTCCTATTTAGTGTCTTACTGAATTCCCTGCTCCTCACAATAGCCCTGAAGCTTTCGAATACATTGAGTCAATGTCAGGTTATTTCACTCTCAAAGAAAGAGATTTTTTTTTCCACCATTCACCATCACCTTGACAAGTCCTTCCGATCAGAAGCAAGATTAATTGTGTGTGCTGCTTTAACTTTAAGGATGTTGTGATTATTTTTGTCAGTAATTTTAGCCAGAGTACAGAGAAGTTGTTTAGGGAAGAATTTACTTAATTTAATCTATCGTTTATGTGAATATACATTTAACTACATGTGCATACTGATGGTTATTAATGTCGTGTGGTGATTATCGTAAGTCTCGAAGTTCAGTCTGCTTGAGGACAAGCAAAAGCTTAAATGTGGGGAAATTGATAAGTTTGTATTTCAACACACATTTTATGCGTGTTGGGAGTGGATTTATTCACATTCCATTTTTAAAACGAGTCACAAAGTGTCAATTTAACTCAAGTCATGATTCATCGGTTTGTGTTTTGCATTGGTTGTTTTCAGAATTCAATTCGAGAAGTTAAGCCCGACACCGACATTGGAAAGTTATTCAAAATGATTTGAGACACATGGGAGAGTTGTACATGTTGAGATGAATTGAAGGTCCATTTCCCACTAAAGGAGTGATTTTGAAGTCACACGAGCTCGAGAATCAAGTACGGGATCCAATGGGGATGAATAGAGCTTGAAAACGACGATCTGGATGATGTTCTGTCAATCGTTTGAGTATATCTTTTCGTGGAAACATCCAAAATCAACTATTCAATATTTATATGAGAGACAACTCAATGGGCTAGATATCATATGAAGACATCATGACGAGAATATGAGAGGATCAAGGTGAAAAGAGACGAGAAAGTCAAATACTTGATGTTGAGTTTTCAGGATGCGACCTTCCACCATTTTTTCCATATCTTTTAATTAGATGATCCAATTCTAGTTTTGAAAGTTGTGGTGGATAGATGACTTCATCATCTATAACTTTTGTGAAAAATGAATTGTTAAAATCGGATGGGAAGGCGTGTATGGCGTCGTGCGTGCGCTCCAGGTGTCCCTTTTCGACCCAAATTCCCCCCCCCCCCCCCCTTTTTTTTCTATTCAAAGGGTCTGTAAACTCCAATTTTAGGCCAGATTTAAAACAACTTGGGATGAATTTTCTTCTGTTTTTCAACATCAGAGCTTCATTATTCTAGGATTGTTTGTGAATTTTTTCTATCTTTCTAATTAATGACAATTAATTCTTTTCTTCTCAATTATGTTGAGCATTCAATTATGAATTGCGAGAAATTTTAATTAGGAATTTGGGATTGATGAAAGGGATTTTAATCATGATTTAGGGTTCCATTTTGATGGATTAATTGCATGTTAATCTTTTAATTTATGTTTGAAAAATTTAATCGATATGTTTTGTAACCGAACAACAGCTATATATGATTATAATTGCACATAGAATTAATTAAGAGAGATCTAATTTAGTTTAGGACACTCTCACATATTGGCATAATTTAGAAACTTTTCTTTGAGAGATCAGCCTAGTACCCTAAATTATTGTACTCAACACTGCGAGAGCCGTAATAAGAACTTAATTAGTATTCACCAGTATTGCTTAATTAAAGAATTTTCATGTGATTAAGCATGATCAACCCCGAAATTTGATTATCCCCGAATCAATCCTTGTTAGCCTAGTATTGACCAACATTGCTTATTCGCGTTTTATTTTCTAAAAAACCTCTTGATTCTCTTTTTCCGTCCTTGTGGAGACGATACTCGTACTTAAACCCTATATTGCTACATACTTTTAGTGCGAGAAAACTCACATCAGTGGCAAACCTCCACTCCAGTCGCATCTCCCTGATTCAACAACTCATGACGATTGAAGCACCACTCACTACGGCCCTCGACCGCTCGACGCCTCCATGACTTCGGCGTTCCGACCTGCCTCCATGCTGCGCCACCGCCAGATCACCACCTCCACCAGACGCCCAGTTCAGCCGGCCAGATCAACTGTCAAAGACACGCCCATGTTACAGACGACCACCAGACGCGCTGATCGGGCGGCGAGACCAACTGTCCAAGACGCCTAGGTTTTGAAGTTTACAGTTTATATGATTCATTTTTTTTTTTGGATTAATTATTAAAATTTCTTTGGATGTCAAGAAAAATTTATTAAATTTATGATATTTATGAATAATGGTTTTTCAATACTTTACGATTTAGGATGAAAAATATATTTCGATAGTGTGCATATATCCATATTTAAAGAAAATCAGAGTATAGAGAGTAGTTCGGATGTTCATTAAAATGATTCATCATTGTTAAGTGAATAGTTGGATCAAATAATTATGTAATGTTAAATTAACACTACAAGAAAAATTGTTTATAGAGGCAACACGTTGAAACAAATTGCCTCTAAAAGATCTTTTTAGCATCAAATAATATTGATTGCCTCTAAAAGCTATTATTTGAGGCAACAATAGTTTTGTTGTCTTTAAAAGCTACTACCTCCGTCCCGGTGGACTTTGCCAAGTGCAAAGTAGGTGAGAAATAATAATAGTAAAAACTGTGTGGTTGAGATTTGTGCAGAGGAGAGAGAAATGTGCAGAACCACAAATTAGTTGCTTTAATGGGAAAGTGACAAAGTTTTTTGGGACAACCAAAAATGGAAAGTTGGCAAAGTCCAATGGGACGGAGGGAGTATTATTTGGTGCAATCTTTTTAGAATTGCCTCTAAAAGCTTGCTCCAAAAGCATGGTTGCCCCTAAAAGTTATTATTCGGAGCAACCTTTTCAGGGATGCCTCTAAAAACTTGTTGCAAAATTATAATCACCCCTAAAACATTTACTTCAAAACAACATATCAATTATCACTACAAGAAAATTGATTTTTTGCGACAAACAATTTGCGACAGAAGTCGATCAGCATATGTATATTTCTAGCGACTACTTTTTTATATGGTGACAAATATATATATAAGGCTCTGTTTGCAACAGTTTCTGCTTTTAAAAAAGTACCTTTTTAATGAAATGAGGAGAAATGATTAAATAAAAGTTGATGATGTTTGAAAAAAAATTGATTTTGAAAAGTAAAAGTTGGCTGTGTTTGATAAAATAAGTGCTTTTTGACACGAAAGTGCAAACCTACCCTAAAACGATTTGAGACCACGTAAATAACTCTTCGCTATCTTACGAATTCCCGGTCGCTAAAAATTTCATTATTGCGGGCTTGCGGCCGCTCCAAAAAATTTAAGCGCCCGCTAAAAATTTCACTTTTGCTGCCGCTCCAAAAAATTAAGCGCCAACTAACTTTATTCTTTAGACACGAAACCCTTAACCCTGCTCCAAATCTGCGTAACGCCCGCTAACCCTCTGCGTTTTCATTAGTAAATATTTCATACCAATGATCTCGTCTCTAATGTCATCTATGCGCGTCGTCTGCTAAGGTAGCAGGGAATCGAAGAAGCGTAGTCATCTCTCTGAGAACCGCGCCGTCTGGGAAGAAGCGTCATATATAGCCAGCTGTGTAAGGCCCTAGTCACTACTCAATGAGGGAAACAATTGGAAGCTGCGGCCGGACGACGAATTGAAAAAAGGTAAATTTCGTTTTGTTTTCTGTATTTTTTGCGTCCGAAGAAGAATTGAAGCTAGCGTTTCCAGGGTTGTTAAACGAAGAAGGCCGCACAAACTCTTCTGGTAATTTCTTTTTTGTAATGTGTAATTCCTTTCTATAATCTGCCTAAATTTAATGATAAATAACCCAGTTGTATTCACACAAACCTGCCTAAAGTCAATCTGCAATAAGCGTCAATTATATATCTATACTTCTCTGCATTCACTATTCAATTAATATGCTGCAAGTTAAAGTTAATTTGAAATAATCTGGATATGTTCTGGAAAATTAAAGTGATTTGTTATTAAAGTTAGTTACAGAGCACATGTACTCCATTGCACATACAGGCCGCCTTAAGTATATATTTTTCACTCTACTTAGTCTCCCACAGTTTATGTGTCCATATATTCCTCATTCATGTTAGTCTATCCCAAACTCTATTGGGACTAAGGCTTGGTCTGTTGGTCACTTGAAAACAAAAACATTTTGAAAACTAATTGGGAATAATTTTCTGTGTCTGGAATTTAGATAAGATAGTCCCTTGAATATTCTAGATTCCTGTTCAGTGAACAATCCAACCATATAACTCATGAAGTACCTTACCATTTGTTTGACAAAAAGCTAGACCTTTAGCTACTTAATCCTTAGGTGCAGGCTGTTATCACTCTTTAAAAAAAAAAACAAATTAGGAATAGTGACTATTGTAAATTCATTCTTTATATTATGAGTTGACTAAATATGTGGAAGGAATACTTTAACTTCAATTTTGTGTGTGATATTATCATCCTTCTTCATGATGATTAAATCATCCTTCTTTATGATGATGTTAATATGTATGGCCGTATGGACTTGGTGGTGATCTATACGATCCAGCTTTAATTTGCATTTCCCCCCTAAATTTCAATACGGGAAAAACAATTGGTTTAGTTATTAATTTATTATAGCATGTGAGCTTGGAACATAGAAGACATTTTATATATAAACAATTGGTTTATATGTGTGTGTATATATATATATATATGAGTCCTATGGTTTTATTAATTATTATCATTGATAATTCAATATTATCCTCTGCTACAATAATTATCTACAAATGGTTAGGGATAAGTGATAAGTCCGATAACACAATAAATCTTATTGATTTAAATATAGTATAGGCTTTTCTGATATTGCATTTTTTAGAGTTGTGAATCCATTAGAGACATGGAATCCCCCTGAACAACTTTTTTACAGGACCACCCAGACATTGTTTTACAACTTCAAGCAACTTTTTTCCAGAATGCTTGCTTTGACTTCCTTTGCGGTCTTATACTTTGCTTCGTTTTTCACAATAAACAGGGAGAGAAATGCCTTATGATGCTGGAATTATAAATTCTGATTCAAAAGGTTTCAGAAAGCTCTTCTTCAATCAGGAGGAGATTGCATTCCAGTACATTCAGCATTAACTTACTAAATCTCAACTCTTTCTAGTACCTTATTTCGCTTTTGTGTGTTTGTTTGAACTCTTTTCTTCAAAATCCGAAAGGAATATTGATCATCTATATTGTATTAATACAGGGAAAGTGATGTTAAAGTATTCCTTTTCTGAAAGAAGTTGATTGTTGGAGGTACTTTATAGTTCTTTTATGGTAAAAAATTCAAGACTTGACTGTCCTGAAAGAATTCTGCTTCAATATGTAATCTCTTTCTCCCTTTCTAATATCAAAGTGTTGCTATTTAGTTTTATATTGAC